TGCGACACAAGAAGTGGAGCACGGATAATGCTTGAGCTGATACGACAGCCCACTGGCCGAGAATAATCAGTGATGACGAATGAGACCCAGAACTCCAGCAGTTCTTCTCAAACCATCAAAAACTTCACGACCAAACAAAATACGAGTCAAGGCCAAGAGTCCCTGGAAGGAATGCATGTCACCCGCAACCTTTCATGCCACGCTTTAAAACTGAAATCATTTTTTGATGAAAGGAAGAGAAACAAAACGTTTCAAGAAGAACCCGTCCAGAGGACCTGACTTCACTTTGGTAGATTTGTCTGCCTGGATTTTTGAGCATCAGAATCTTTTTATGTTATTTTGGTGAAACTTTAAAAATAATGCTGAGTGTGATCTCATGCACCATCATGAGATGTGACATTGTGACTGTTACAACCTCCACCCAGTTATACTTCAGTAACTGGGAGACTGAACGAGTTGTAGCCGTTTAGGAGTTCATGAGGATCAGACGTGGTGGTTTGGATCAACTCCACAACTTAAAGAGTTATGGATGTAAAACAAGTCGTTACCAGTGTTTCCTCTCGTTTACTTGCCTTGGCAGGGGGCTCATATCTTACGTACAAGCAGGGCACCCCGCCTCGTCAACAAAAGCGAGCGCCCCACCCTCCTGTCAACAACCGTCTGGATTTAGCACGGGGAGCAATACAAATGTAAAAATGCTACAGACGTACCGCTCCGCTTCCCACTGTCAATTACTGGCAGTAACGTAGCGCTAAGCTAGCAGGTGGGCAACACAGAACGTGACTCCGTCCCGTCCTCAGCTCCCCCCCCCCCCCCCCCCCCGTTGACAACTGCTCAGCATGAGGGAGACCAACTGCTGCTACCTCCATATTACTAGCTTTGTAGCTAGCACGTCTGTGTTGCGCGCCGCTAGCTTAGCGCTACGTCAGTGCCAGCAGTTGTGGAGGGTGGGGCGCCCTGCTTGTAATAACAGTTGGGGAAAAACGCATTTTGAAAGTTTAATTAACGTCTGTCCAGTAAAGATCGTCCCCAATACTGGAAGAGGAGGCAGCACACTCAGAGGCTGCAGGTTTAACATCTGAAGAAAGAGCCAGCATCCATCACAGCTGCACTACACAACCACCAAGACCATCGTTCCTCTGGTTTCCATTTAGGACGAAACCGTTTCCTCCAGTTTTGCACAAACATCTCGCACGAAGAGCAAACGTTGTGACCGACTCTCAGCTACAACCACAGCAGATGTTGGTGACTGAACTCCAGCCACGCTTGTGTTTTCTGAGGTCGGCCGAGTGTGGCAGCCACCTTGGATCGATTTTGTCAGATGTTTTCGTGAGGTGTTCTGGGAACAAGCAGACACACAATCGTTTGACTTCACAGCAGCAGTAACTGCTCAGCTCGGATCACGAGCTTCTTACCAAAGTCTTCTTGCAAGCTGGAGGCACCGACAGTTGAGGCCTTGTCCTGAGAACCCTCCAGGGGCGTGCTTCCATTCCTGGCCAGCAGGGACACACTTGCACTGAGAACGGTCACCTGGGACGGGGTTCTGGACGGCTGCGTTTTCACCAGCGAAGAAGAAGGCTGGGAGGCCTGGCTGAGAGCCTCCTGAAGACTGGAGGACAAGAAGGAGGAGAGAAGTGGAGGCTTCCTTCTCATTACAACACAGGAGGTGGTGGACAGAACATCAGCAGAGCATTCGATCCAAACTTTCTTCTGAAGAATAAACTTTAGACTGTTTCAAGTCATCTAGACAAACAGAGCAGCACTAAAGGAGACAGTGAAGGCATCACTCAAACGTTAGTTTCTACACTTCTCCTGGCAGCCTGCACACTAACCCGTGTCAGGTGGAGTGTCATGTGATGTCGTGCTCAGCACCAGCTGACATGCTCGTACCTGAGAGGAGAGCCGATGATCGAGGTGGGAGGGGTGGGGTTGCTCCCCGCGTTGTGCCGTCGCCGCACCGCCTGTCGACGAAACGTGCTGCGCTCACGACGAAAAACGACCGTCTCCTCTCGTCCCGGTGCTGCCTCGGTGAGAAACATCGTTCAGTGCACGAGACGAACTCTGGGAACTTCGAGTGGATCGCTCGCTGACCAACAATTCAAGATGGCCGCCACAGCCAACTGGATCCAAACCCGGCTATAACTCACCCAGTTTGACCAACACTGAGCTGAACTGGTGCAGAACATGAACGCAACACACTCTGCTTAAAACCTCTGTTAGCAAAATACTGCATGAACCACAGGACAGATATTAATGAGACTAAGAAAACTATTATGGGATGTGCATCTTTTATAGTCAACTTATTCAAGATGGCCACCACAGTTAATGTACCTAAAACAGTTATTTGTCTGGTACTGAGCTAATACTTGGTGTGGTAGTAGCTGAGACTGACTCCACAAACTCTGAGCACTAACGGGCTGCACAAGATGTCAGCTGTCATAACCTGTCAGGTTCTGACCCAGTCCAGAGCAGAGTGTCTGGACCTGGTCAGGTTCTGACCCAGTCCAGAGCAGAGTGTCTGGACCTGGTCAGGTTCTGACCCAGTCCACCCAGTCAGACGCTCGGCTCTGGTCTCCTACCTGCAGAGACCATCTTGTGATGAACTTGTAGCTGTTTTGGTCAAACTGTGAAAGACGCCATGCTCTGAGTATACATTATGAATGGCTATGGCAGCCATCTTGAATTGGGCTAACTCTAAAAGTTAGTTTGTTGAAGAGCATCAATTGGCTCCTTTCTGAAAGTTCATTAAAGTCCATCCAGTGGTTCGTGAGATATTTTGCTAACAGATACACTAATCTGTAATTTGTTAGCACTCAGGGTTGGGATCAGCCTCATATCAAACTGTAGGTCAGGACCTGTAAAACTGGGTTATAAACATTTAAGATGGTTTGAAGGTCAGTTAGCTGTGGCAGCCATCTTGAATCGTGTTGACTGCAAACATCAGTTGTAAATTCAGTGATTACCGTCCGTAACTTTAAATAAACCTGTTTATGGTGGTGTCACATGGGTTTGGTGATCATTTTAAACCTTATGAGCAACATGAGCCACAGCCAGCTGCAGAGTGTGTGTGGTACTGACCTCGCAGAGCAGCTGCATCGTGAGGTTCAATGAATGCCGCCTGGTTTGGTAGACTGTTCCTGGAGCGGGTCACAGATTCCAGCTGAGAAGCCCGACCTAGCAAAAACGCAGCATCCAGGACTTCCCCTTCTTTGGCTTCCAGGTCCGACTTGGAGGTGGTGAGGGGTCGATGTCCGCACGGCGCTCCCAAGCGGCTGGGATCGTTAAGGCAAGCGGCAGTACCGCTGTCCAGACTCAACACTCTAGCGTGTGTTTTGGCACTACCTGCGCTGGGTGTTCGGCGGGAGGTTCGGCGCTTCCCTCCCGTTCTGGGCCCTGCCTTAGATCCAGCTGTGCCTTTCCCTGTGGAGGATGAGGGTGCTTTGGATGCAGAGTGCTTGGCTTTTAGGCCCCTGAAGTGACCCTCTGGTGAGTGGCAGGACCGAGGGGTGGTGCTGGAGGAGCTATCTGTACTTAGATGGTTGGTGGAGTGGAGGCTGGAGGCACAGCTGAGTTCACTCTGATCACTGGAGTCTTCCTCTCCTCCAGCAGTCAAGACTGCACTGCTGGGCTTAGCCATCCCGTGCACAGACAGGTAGTCTCTGTGACGGCTGGCGTCAAAGCTGCTCGCCCTTTTCTTCCCAGAATGTCTTCGTCCACTGCGTCCCGCTGACAGAGAGGAAGTCCTCTGAACCACGGCATCAGACTTTGTGGGACCGCCATCTTTAGCTTGTTCCTGTTCTGGGGCATCTCCACCCGTCGAGCCATCAGCACTGGTCCTTACGCCGGGCTGCTCCAGGATGGCCCCAGGTTCCCTGAGCTCCTGGGCTGCAGCAGACGGTGCAGCTGCAGTTTGGTTAGCAGTCAGCTCATTGGCATGAGGGTTTTTATTGGCTTCCCTAGAGGGAACGTTGCTGAGACCATGAGAACTGACGCTGCTGAGGCATGAAGCTCTACCTTCAGCAGCAGGTAGGGTCTCTCCTCTGTCCCGTCCCCGCTCGTCCCCTGAAAGTGAGAGCAGGCTCTCTACATGTGTGGAACTGGTTTGTTCACTGTGAAAGCTGCTGAATGTGCTGTTGGTGTCCCTGTCTGTGCCGCTGCAGTAGCTCTCAGTGGAGCCACTGCTGTGGGTACTCAAACTCTTCAGGCTATCCACACTCTGCTCTCCTGCATGGGATTTTCCTGCTCCAGGAGAGACTTTCCCACCACTCTCCACCTGGTAAAGTCCTGAGCTACCTTCACCCGCCTCTCTGGAGGCAGTGTGAGCAACTTTGTGTTGTTCTTTGTGCCAGTGATGTTCTTCTCCAGAGGTAGAAGGGACAACTGGGTCCTGCTGGTAAAGCTGCTCTCTGTCACAGATCCCCGGCCTGTGGGGTCTGGCAGCCTCTAGCTCACACACTGGGTCAAGGCCACCTCTCCTGAGTGGAGGATACAAAGAAAAGTCTGGCAAACACGGGTCAGGAAAAGCGGAGCCTGCAGAGCTAGAGGTCCGAGGCAGGCCCCGAGAACGGAGCTCCTTCCTGGAGGTCTGAGACTGCACGGGAGCATGAGCGGTCAACTCCGTGTCACAGGATGAATGACACAGGCTGAAGTGATAGGCCGAGGAGCTGCAGAGGTCTGCAGCCTCCCTGGACAACTCTGAAGGACACAAGGAGGTCGATGGCTGCAAGGAGGCGAAGGAGTCGTTGGGAACAAGACAGTACATCTTTGTTTCTGAGAGCAGATCTGAAAAATGAAATAAAAACACACAAGAAGTGAAACTTGAAGTGTTGAAATGAACTTTAACATGAAACGGCTTCTTGTTTGGTTGTGTGTTTACCATGATCATGACTGCAGCTCTCAACAAGAGTCAAACTGATGTCATCCGAGATCTTTCCAACATCTCCTGCAATGATAGTAGCACAGCAAGTAGAAGCCTCATCAATGATTCATTTTACAATCAAGAGCCCACACACAAGTGGCCGCTCCAGAGGAAAAACAAACCTTCAGCTCATGCTTGGAGTCAGAACCAAAACCAAGCCACAGTTGGATAAACACAAAAACAATGAAGCCGCAATCAATTCCTTGAAGCTACGACGGATTCCACGAGGCTGCGACCGATTCCATAAAGATACGACGGATTCCACGAGGCTGCGACCGATTCCACGAGGCTGCGACCGATTCCACGAGGCTGCGACCGATTCCACGAGGCTGCGACCGATGCCACGAAGCTGCGACCGATTCCACGAAGTACGACCGATTCCGTGAAGCTACGACCGATTCCATGAGGCTACGACCGATTCCATGAAGCTACAACAGATTCCATGAGGCTGCAACCAATTCCTTGAAGCTACGTCCCGATTCCGTGAAGCTGCGACCGATTCCGTGAAGCTGCGACCGATTCCGTGAAGCTGCGACCGATTTCGTGAAGCTGCGACCGATTCCATGAAGCTGCGTCCGATTCCATGAAGCTGCGTCCGATTCCATGAGGCTACGACCGATTCCATGAAGCTACGACCGATTCCATGACGCTACAAACGATTCCATGACACTACAAACGATTCCATGACGCTACAAACGATTCCATGACACTACAAACGATTCCATGACGCTACAAACGATCCCATGACGCTACAAACGATTCCATGACACTACAAACGATCCCATGACGCTGCAAACGATCCCATGAAGCTACAAACGATCCCATGAAGCTACAAACAATCCCATGAAGCTACAAACGATCCCATGAAGCTACAAACGATCCCATGAAGCTACAAACGATCCCATGAAGTTACGAAAGACTCCAGCTGATCACCTGAATCTCTTCTGTTCCAGGTGAACTTTCATACAAAGATCAAAATATTCAGATTCTTCAGTTTCCTAAAGAATGTCGTAGCTCTTTGTAAGGGACAGTCGAAGTGAAGAGTGATAAAATCACTAAACGACAAGCGGCTCTCTGATGAGGATAACTCGATGAATTGGGACAGAACCACCTCAGGCTAACTGGGTTTAATGGGCCCACAGCAAAGCTGCAGTAAGTTCTCGTCTTCTCCGTGTTCGTTGAAAACCTTTTCGGAGAAAGTGTCATGTCAAGACTAATGGTGTGTTTACACCACCATCTTTACACCACCACCCCTACCCCCAAGAAATTAACAACTCATCAGTCTTTAAAGCCATCGAGGTCACAGCAATGCTGAGTCAGAGTCCATGACCTGGACTGTAGGGGGATCCTGGTCCACTATAAAACCAGACATTTAATTGTTGTGAGCTCAGAACAAGTCCTGGTTTTCATTTTTTAAAATGTGGAGTCACAAGTACAAGAAGTAATTAAGGACATTCTGTGAAGAAATGCTGATCGCCTGCCACCTTCATTAGAGTGGTTTCAACTGAAGTCATGTGGAGAAAAATGGAGTCAACCTAAAAACATTTTGTGTGTTGAGATCTTGAAGTATGTGTCAAATGAGTCCGTTACTACCACAACAAGTTTTATTTAGCTCCAGTTCTGAGAAACCAGCCTGAGTTACGGCCATCTTTGTGTTTCTTGAGGCAGTGGTAATGACGAGTGCTACATTTACCTTTGACAACTGCTGCTCTTCTGTGTGCAGATCCAATCTGAAATGTACAGAAACAATAAATAGAGCGAGTAGCTTTAAAGGAAAAGTGGGCATTAAATCAAACATTGAGCTGTGATAATCAGAACAGAGTTGGTGAAGAGACTGAACCATCACTGGGTTTGGTTGTTATTATAATCTTAATCACTTTTTTGAGTCTTGTTTGTGTTTGTTTTCTGATCCAGCATCAGTGACAACAGCAGAGCGGCCGGCAGTAAAGACAAATGAACGTTTACTCTTTTCAGCACTAGTGTGCAGCGGAGAGCAGACCAGCACCGTGCTCACCTGGCTCGACTCGGTCCCGATGTAGGAGTTTCTGGAACTGCAGTCCACCGGAGGGGTCTCTTGTTGAATGAAGTCTGTCATTTCTATACCCCCTCCAGGGTCCCTTAGTTAAACACACACACGTACAAGAGTTCACAAAACATACCTCAAAGTACTCGCACATCTGGAACGTGCCCACATTTTGTTTGTTACATCCACTAATGGAGTAATTTACTGAGAGTTTCTGTGACAGCCTGACACTAAACTGCAGTGGAAGGAAAATGATTTCTCCGGGGTTCGTCTCCACCACCGTTACACGTCCAGAGACGACATTTTGTCCCATTCTTCTGTGTAAGAGCTGCAGCCCAGATTTGATGCAGAACATCCGAACAGCAAGAGGTGTTTTACAAAGTTCGGACTCGGGGCTGAAGCTAAATGCAAACTACACGTTTCAGATTATGTGTAAAAAGTTTGAAAACCATGAATCAGTTTCTTTCCACTTCACAGTGAATACATTTGTGGATGTGACAAGACGTTGAAAAGAAGACTCAGTATATCACCATAAAATCACCAAAAATAATCAGAGACCCAGTTTAAAAATTTTTGGTTTTGCATCTCAAAGTTTTAATGTAAGCGCCACACACACACACACACACACACACACACTCACACACACTCTTTCACCTTCAGTGGCAGTTGACAGTAAAAGGATCCATGTAAGTTTTCTCATGATCTGTAGTTCGCTCAGGACAAACCAGCTTAACCAGCTGGTTTGTTGGAACAAAAAAAAAAAAAAAACTTTCCAGTGATGGAAATAATTTCCATATACAAAAAAAATCATTAATTTACGAATCAAACCATAAAAAACACCCGAATCTCCATGTGCTTGCTTCACTCTAAACAACCTGGACTGCTGCTCCAGATGTGCAGTCTGTGACCGCAGCTGCTGGGGGGGTGGGGGGGGGGG